AGAAGTGAAACCGCTCGAGTATTCTGACGATGGGCAAGCGACAGACCGAATGAGCTGCAGTACGTGATAAATTTTCCTCAAAAACCGAAAAGGAATGGTTGGCGAAACTAACCGAGAAGAACTCAGGTTCATGCAATTTGTTTCAGTAATAATGATGTCCACAAGATGACTGGCAAACCGTGGATCTTTCCTTGAGAGCTTCACGGCAGCAAGAACACCATTTAATCTTGTCCGTTGAACTACTTCAAATGGCCTGAGAGCAGAAAACTGTTATATTTTCCACGCCTCGAACTGTTTGAAAATTTATAAAAGGCCGAGAAGCAGTCCATGTATTATCTAACAATTTAAAGTTTTAATTTCTTCGCATTTTTCCTTCTCCAGACTTTCTTTGCTTTCTTTAGGTTACGCTAAAGTTATGAAAGTTGACAGAAGTTGCCAGAAAGATAAGTACAGAACTCCAGTCAAGAATATGACTGCGACGCCGCAACGCAACGCCGCGCACCCTCGATCGGCCGATCCTTTGAAGTATGGAGATACCCTTGGCGTGCGTAGTATCTGACCCACTCCAAATCAAAAAGACTGTACGTGGCAAGCCCATTTACTACGAGTTAGAGACAAAAGGAGAGATGTCTGGAAACGCTATGGCATTCACTTCATTTCCATTGGTTCTTTTTGGCTATAAAGAAAGAATTCTCTCCTAATTAGCTTGCAAAAAGCATCATAAGCATAAGTCAGGGAGGAAAATTTCCCACAAGGTTTTTTGGGCGTTATTGACAATCGAAATACATTCGACTTTAATATCTACAGTAGCAGAAATTTCCTCGAAGAACATGGAAAAAAAGATCGACTAAAACTATCTCTTTGAAATGTTGAAATTGTTTCGTAAATTACACAAATTTTTAGGGTATTCTTAAGAATGCTATAGGTAAGTCAAAGTAGACCATTCTCATAAAAAAATCGGGGGTGGTAGTAATTCGACAATGAACTGCGAGTTAACGCGAGTTTCGCAGTCAACTCGCAGACAACTGCAAGTTTCAAGCTCGCAGTTAACATGTGAAAAAACAGAAAATCCAGGAAATTTGTACACGAAAATGCGCCAATAAGATTTGAACGTTTACAAAGACTAAGTCCCAAAAATCTCGAAATCTGGAAAAATAACTGGTTTAACTCCGAATGAACTCGGAGTTAACTCGCAGTTAATAAATGAAATGAAACTGCGAGTTAACGCGCAGTCAGCTCGCAGTTAACTGCGAGTTTCAAGCTCGCAGTTAACATGTGAAAAACAGAACATCCAGGAAATTCTGGTACACGAAAATGCGCCAGTAAGATTTAAATGTTTACAAAGACTAAATCCCAAAATCGGAATCGACATAATTGGTTTAACTCTGAGCGAACTCGGAGTTAACTCGCAGATAATAAATGAAATGAAACTGCGAGTTAACTGTGAGTTTCAGTGATAAGGCGGGGTAGGTTGTAAGAGATAAAGACACAGGTATAACAGTGTACATCTCATTAAAAAGTAGTATGGAGTACTGTCCATGAGATGAGCACTATTATTGTTTCTATTCCTAACGACATTATCTTGCCCTATCGCTGTAACTCGCAATTTCTTCATTTCTTGACTGCCAGCTATCTTGGCGGTTAACTGCGAATTAGGAGTTTCAGACCAGTGTGAGGGAGATCGACACCAATATCGCCCGTTATATGCATCATTAGATCAAGTTACTACACAATGCAACAAGAATTAAAATTTCATCTCATAGAATCTCTCTTAGTAAGCTTTAGAAGGTCTTTTTATTATTTGTAGTTCAATGGTATAGGCAACAGTTTAGGAGATCAACCATCGCGAGTTCAATCTTGCTGGGTTCACATGGATTTGCAACCAACACTTCTTCTTATAACTGCCAGTTAGCTCGCAGTTAAGTCCTCTTTTCAAATGAACCTGGGAGTTGACTGCGAGTTAATAACGATCGTTAACTCGGACATTCGGTTAGATTACTACCACGCCAGATTTGTGATAGAGCACTTAAGAGGAATTGCAGGAGGGCAACGTGATAGAGGTTAACAAATTTATAGAGCTGCTACTTTATTCAACTTAGAAATGAAGTTGCTTAATGAAGAGATAGAGTTTTAAAACATAATACATACCTGTGAATATCACCAAGCTGATTCGAAATTTCAGTGGAGATCATTTCGTATGCTGCATTAACAACACGACTCTCCTTTTTTGGTATCGGTCCAAATACAGCAACAGAGAATATCTTGAAAAGTGATATAAGAGTTTATAAAATTGATACAAATTTCAAATCTAAAATAAACAAACTGTATAAGCCCAGCCGTTGCCTAGAAGATCCATTTGTTCCGCTCGGAGAAGAGCAGTAGAAAGGTGTAGTGCCACAGGCGTATTCAAACGAGCCAACTCAAGCAATTCTTCACAAAAACTCTAGAATCTTCAAGTATGTTATAATAATAAAATAATAAAGAACAAGGAGTAAGCTACTGACTGAAACACGACTGCTTGCATCTTCAAATGACAATATAGATCTGGAGAAGAATATGCTAAATCGACACTTTAAAACTCGAAAACGAAAGAGCGAAATTCATTATGCTCATGGACATCCAAATGATGCAAGAACAGAAAAAAAGGTACCTCAAAACAAGTTGGAGCGCAGGCAAAAAATTTTGCGATTTTCTCTCTTCGATTGTAACACCGATTGATACACTTACCAATCTCGATAGAATGTCTGCACATTTCACCTTAACTAACACATGGGAAGAACTATTATAATCTGGATCAAACTTACCTTTCCTAACAAATGACGGGCTATCAGTAAGTAGCATTCAGTAACTGCATATGCTGAAGCGCTATCAATTTGATCAATGCACTCCGAAAGCATGCTCTCAGGATCTTTGGAAAAGTATGGCAAGTATCTGAAAAGAGCTCTAAAGAAGTGATAAGAGTGTGAAGAAAGAACCCTACTT